TCGAAATTCCAAATGGATCGTACACCACGAATTTTGGATCGTACAGGACCTCAAATTATCGTACGCGTACGATAATTATCGTACGAATGGGATCGCTGGTCACTTTCCTGCCAACGTTATAAATATAAATATAAATCTAAAAATTAATTTAATTTTCAAAAATACATTAAATAATTTAATTAGTTAAATAAAAATTATTAATTAAGCATTAAGACCCTATAGAAAATAATGCACGTAAATGTAATAACTCTAGAATAATATGTTTCATTCATAACCTTAAAAATATTCTCTATATACTGGAACTAGGAAGATGCACTAGGGATTTATTTTGATTAATAACTTTTTGATATTTAAAGTTGGTAATAATTTGGCGGCAGTATACATTCTTTTGTGCTTCACGTGTAATAAGGCAGTATGTTTTTACAGTAAATTTGTTTATCCATTTTGTCATTTAAAATTTAATTTTCATTTAATTTTCATTTTTATAATAAACATGGCAACAGTTATTGTGGAACAAAATAATATTTTACAACACCGGGACGTAGATAATAATGACGAGTTAGTTATTAATGATAATAATAAAGAGAATTTAATGAATGAAATTATAAAAACATCTTGTGATAATATTAAACATAATAATCAATCCAAAAATGATAGTTTGGAAAAAGTTATTAAAGAAATGAATTCTGAAATTATAGCTGACTGTGATAATGTAGATAATAATGTTAAAAATATCTTAGATTCAGATAATACAAATGATAAAGCTATTTTATTGGAAAGTAATGAACAAATTCAGGTAGTTAAATCATCGTCGAAGAAATATTCAGCTGTTATAGACAGTGATTCAGAAGACAGTGATATTGGTATTTCTTCATCACGAAGGATTAAAAATGTTATTGATGATGATGACACAGAATCTGTTATTTCTAATGTTAGTTCAGAAAAGAATGTTATTAAAAAGAAGAAAAATAAGACATTAGTAATTGATGATGATGATGATGATGAGAATGAGAATGATTCTATTAGTGCATCTCAAAATTTAGTAGAAAAAGAAGAAAGTGTAAGTTTACTTTCTATATTATTGATACATTAATTATATATAAGTAATGGTTATCATATAATAAATTCGTTATGATTATACAGTCCAACAAGGTAATAAAAAGATTTGAGACACTGGTTGATAGTGAGTCAGATGAAGATGAAATTCAACCATCAACATTTGTCGAAAGTGATGACAGATTTATAGAATTAAAAGAAGCAAATAAAAGTGTGACCAAGTCAACGAGTAAGAAGGAAAGCAATAGAAGAGTAAGTGGAATATAATATTTATTAAAGGAAAACACCATTTAGAAAATGAATTCTTCTATGTATTGATTTTTCTGGTTTATTGACAGCACATGGATGTAAATTTAAGTCCCACTCTTAATCCCTTGCACTACAATGTCTGTGCAGAGCTGTATAACAAATTATATGATACTATAATTAATTATTATATTAATTATTATTTCAGGGTTCAATCAGAGCTTCTAAAAATGAAGCAATGAAACAAATTCATAGTGAAACACAACGATTAATTAGAGAAACTGAAATATCTTTACCATATCATAGACCAAAACCACGAACATTGCAGGAATTTTTAAATAGAAAAAAAGTATCAGTAACTCTTCCCAATGCACCTACGACTGCTACTAAACTCAAAATGTCTCCTGCTATTGTAAGGTAATATCTTCATACTTCATATTGAATATTGTTAAAATAATCTAAAACATTTTTAAATTATTTATCTCAATCAATTGTTTCTTTTCTTTTTTTTTTTTTATATAGCAAAGTACTCGAAGATAAAGAAAAAGAAGCAGAAGAATTTTACAAATCTTCTGACTCGGAAGAAGAAATAGAAAAAGTAGAAAATCCTATTTCTGAACCTACGATCAAAGATGCTAGTACATCTTTAGTTGAGAATGGAATGACACTTTCAAATGATGTTGATTGTATTTTAAATGAAAATGTTGAAAAGGTAATGACCAATGGTATGGAGAGTTCTTCCATTGACAAAGATATTTCACATTGCGAATCTACTGTAAACAATATTTCCGAAGAATCATTTATTAATAATAATGAGGTAAAAGATACAGCAGATTTAAGTAATAAAATAGAAACAACTGATCTTGATTTATTAAACAATGTTATTCATGATCATAATGAAAATAGTGAAACAATTGTACAAGAAATAATAGATAAGTTAATGAATCTAGTGGAATGTGAAATAAAAAAACACGAAGAAGATATATCAGAAGAAAATATAGTATTGGAAAAGACAAATGAAATTTGTTTAGAGGAAAAAGAAAATGAATTATTGGAAACAAGTGATACAAATATTTCATTGTACGAAGATAACAATGATAAACTGCAAGATCAAGTTAGCGATAATAATGGAGATATAGAAACGTCTGTGTTAGAAAATTCAATAGAAAAAACAGCTGAATATGTACAAGGTTTACCATTACCAGATTTTGTCGTGGAAGAAGAAAAAAGTACTAGAAAACAATTACTATTAGATATAAAGAAAAATGTAGAGCCACGTTTAAAAGGTTCACCAGGTATGATAATTGATTTATCGCGGAATGTGAAACCAAACAAGAAAGGTGTAGAAAGTTTAATTAACAGATTCTTTGTCAAACATACCTCGAGCGATAAAAATGTAGAAGAAACAACGGAAATAAATGTTCTTCACATAGAAAATACTACTGATGGATTAAAAGCAGTTAAACGTTCGCTTTTATATAAAAAGCCAATTATTGAAAAGGAAGATCCAGAATTATCTAAGCCTGGAGCTAAATTGAAACGTCTGAAGGAAGATTTGAAACTTAAAATGGCTATGAAACGTAACGAAGAATGGAAACAAAAGGAACAAGAGGAAAAAGATAATAATGAATTGGAAGAGGATGATGTAGATATGGATGATGAGATTGAGGAAAAGGTATTGGATGAATCTAGCACAAGTGGAGAAAGTGAACCAGAAGAGAACGATATACCAATGGTAGATAAAGTATACAAGCCTTCGTGTGCATTTGTGGACGATGAAGCTATGGAAAGTGAAATTGAAGATGATGATAATGAAGTGGACGAGAAGAAAGAAGAAAATGAAGAAAAAGAAGAGGAAGAAGAAGAAGAGGAAGAGGAGGAAGAGGAGGAAGAAGAAGAAGAAGAAAAGGAAGAGGAAGAGGAGGAAGAGGAAGAAGAGGAGGAGAACAACGATGATAATGAAGATGCAAATGATGAAAGTATCGACATTAAAAAGAAATGGAAACCCAAGAGAATAATAAAAGCTTTTGAAGATGATTCTAATTTGTCGTCGTCAAAAACTTCAATGGATGAAACTGAGATTAATGAAACGAAGAAAACAACTTTTAGAAGAAATAAAACTGACGAGGATATGTTTGAAACGATTGATGACAATTGTCAAAGTCAATGGAACAGCGACGAAGATAGTTATGCTGCAATGTTTTCAAAAAACAATCAACAATCAGATTTAACGCAAATATGTAAGACGCCATTGATTAAAACAAATGTACTTGATTTTGTGTCTCCAATTACGCAATTAACAATATTACATGCAAATTCAAATTCTTCTAAAACGAATTCAGTTAAGAAAGAGTTTGTATTTGGTAATGATATCGAATCGTTCTCTCAAACGCCATTCGATACATCTAAAAATCGTTTTAGTATGGACAAACGATTAGGACCACAAAAAAAACTTTTCGATGATTATAACGAAGTAGCTAACGACGATGATCTCATGCAATTATGTTCAGGAGCATTTCCATCTTTGCCGATGATCAAATCAAATCAAATATCACCGGAGCAATCATCTTCATTGACAATGAATGAATTCAACAAAGATATGTCAGTTATAAAAAAATCAGATAAAAGTGCATTGTTTGAGAATGAAAATTCTCAAGACATAACGCTCTTTTTGGAAGAAAATTCTGTTTCACCTAACGATAAAGATAATGATAATTCACCTAATAATAAAAATAATGAAAAAGAAGAAAATTTGAGAAACTTCGAACCTACGTGGACTAAATTATCGGTCGTATTATCGTCTGACAGCGAAGATGATTCTAATCACAAAGATAAAATTAAAGTTACGAAAAAACATCCTAAAAAATTAGAATTATCCGATGACGACGACGATGACGAAAAGGAAGATGATGACAATGTACAATCGGATGAGGAAAAAGATAAAGACGATTACGTTGATTACGATTCCGAAGAAAATGAAGTTGTTCTACCGAAAAAGAGCAAAAATAAAATCGCTGCTGACTTTTTCGAAGAAGAAGCCGAGTTGAGCGAAAGTGATTGGGATTCTGCAGACGAGGATGAACAAGATTTGGATAAATTGGAAATAGAGGAAGGAGATGAGGATGATATCGATGAAAGTAAAGTGCATAATCAATTGGAAAAAATTCATATGAAACAAATGTTAGATCAGGATCAAAGGGAGGTCAGAATGTTACAAGAAATATTATTCGAGGATGGTGATTTGTATACCGAGGGTAGCGGACGAGAAAGAAAATTCAAATGGAAAAATATAGGTACTAATATTATGAATAGAAATATTGTTTTTTTTTTTTTGAATATATTTTAAAAAAATTTATTTCAATAATTTTGTATCACACTGTTCATTTAGATAAACTTGGGGATAATAACGATGCTTCTAATGTCGATGACACGGATGCCGGATTTGATGCTCAAGAAAATGAAAATGAATTAGAATGGTGTAAACTTCGTCACGAAAGAGATAAATTTATTGAAGAAAAAAAGGTAAGAAAAATAATAACAGAAATATTCTATTCTATTATAAAAATTAATTAAAACTCTATGTGCATAATTGAATTGAATTTGTAGAAAGCAGTAGACGAAGAAATCGAAGAGGATTTGGAAAAAAGTGAAATATTTAATTTTGGCGTGAAATTATTGAAAAAGAAAAATGAATCTAAACAATCGGAGAAAGAAGATACTTTAGAAAATAATATGCCTATGATAGAACCGATAATGCCACGTAATTTGACCGATTTATTGAATTCACCTGCATTGGGAGGAAGAAGAAACGTAATTAAAGTGAGTAATTATTCTAACGTATAATATTAATAATAATAATAATAATAATATATTGTTTATTTTATCAATAAATATTTATTAGTAACATGTTCAAGATCAGCAAAGTAGTTCTAAAATCTCTAATTAAATATTAGCAATGTGATAAAAAATTTTAATTACTTCATTTGTTTTTTATACACATTCGTTTGATTGTTATATAATAAATTGTAGTATTATTCTGTTAGCAATATGTTTTATATTTCAAGTTATTAGTTATTTGGTCACGAATCTAATTAATATATGCGTATAAATATTATTATAAAAATATATGTGTATATAAATATATTTACAAATGTAATTATTATAATGATCGTTTTCAGACAATTATGAAAAAACGTTCGTTGTTATCACGAGGAGAAGAGGAATTGGATCGTCTAGCTAAAAGAGTAAAACTGAACGATACGATCAATTTGGCGCCAATGAATACTACGAACTTTGTGTTCGCGCATGTAACTCCGTCCACAAAGACAACCGATGACGAAGAAAACGAAAATATCCGCGAAAAAAATGAAAACGAGTCGACGTCGAATGAGAAAACGTTCCAACGTAGAAAGAGGAAGGCGTTGGCGTCGGACTCGGCGTCGGGTAGTACAACGACGCCTAAAAGAACAATGAAGCAACAAGAAGGGATGGATAAGAAAAGAAAGAAAATATTTTAATATAAATACTATAATATATGTAAGGATTATAATAGTTGTATAATAATTTCTTTTTTATATGTTATATATATATATATATATTTCGATGCTAGAGGCATGTTCGAAATATTGTAAATATCGTTATTTTATTACTATAATTATTATTATTATTATTATAAACGATCTACATGCATAATACATTGAAATATAATACTATTTTTTATATATCCTGTATACATATATATAAATGTGTTATGAATTCTATGTATATGCACATTGGTGGTGTCATATGATTGACATTGGCTAAATTTTTTTTTTTTTTTGAACGGTAAAACAAAGGAAACACCGTTGGTTGGATTGGAACAAAAAAAGAAAATAGAAAGAGAGAAAGAGAGTGAGCGTACTCATAGTAACGAGAGCCGTAGTACATTTGTTCGATAGCAACTCTCATTCCGGTTCATCCGATATCGTAGTCGTCGTATGAGGATAGTGCCTGCTGTAGGTATCTCTCACGTAACGAATATGAGTTAGTGAGTGCGTGAGTGAGTGCGTGCGAGCACCGTTGTTCACTCTCGCGCTTTATACACCGGTATTGGAAAATAATCCGAACAATACGGCATGTGGAGCGTATGTTTAATGTAACTCTATCCAATAATGCACGTCCTGGCCTAGGGCAACCGAGTGCCCCTCGTGCACGCTCGGCAAACACGACACGAAAGGTAGGGCCTGAGGTGGACACACAACCACGCGTCCTATTGGTGACCTGACTCATCAAGAACACATTCCATTTACTATATACTTACATTTTAATCGCATGACTTCGTCGTCCTGGATAGATGGATGGATATACGTGTGTTTTTCTTCCCCTCTCTTCCTCTTCAAATATTTCTAACGGTTTCCTTTTAAATCCCCGAAACTACTATGAGAAATGGTTGGTCTTCTTTTCCGTTACGTTGTTAAAAACCCGATCGTCGTTTCAGAACGACGCTTTAAACTTGCTCGCGTGTTTTATAAATGAATAAAACTAGTAGTCTAGTAGACAATGATCATGATGGTGATGCTGCTGCTAATGATGTTCAGTTTTATTCTCGGTCAGAATAACAGATTGAAGTATACCACAAAGTAATAGACGACTGAGTTGGTTCCACCTCATTTAGGTTACCCCTGGCTTTAAGCTAAAAGACGAAGAAAAGAGAGAGAGAGGAGAGAAGAAGAGGAGGGAGGGTTGAAAGAGAGGAATAAGGTAAAGAGAAAGAGAGAGAGAGAGAGATGTACGATAGGAAAAGACTGGAAGAGCGTTGAGGACTGCGGTGGTGGAAACGGGGAATGAGGGTGGTTTGTTGCGTAAGCCGATTAGAGCATCACGGCAGTCACTCCTAGTCCGTGCAGGGAAGAGGAGAAGGAGGAAGAGGGTGGTGGTAGTTGGGTGGTGGTGTATGCCCAGATCACGTTGATGCTCTCCGCGAAAGGTGGATTGGGAGGTTGAGTAGCGTGCAAGCCGAACAGTCAGGCAGAGACACATTAAAATCGCATAAAATATGTACACGCATCCCTCACCCTCGCCCATCACCCTTCTCCTTTCCCACCCACCCCCTAACCTCCATCCTATGTCCTGTAGCATAGTACCATGTTTTCGAACTGGTGCTTGCTTGCTTGCTTGCTAGCTTGCTTCTACGAAAGCACTCGCTTACATCTGCTCGTACGCGAAGCGAAAAAGCTTACTACTACTCTGGACCCATTTTCTTTCCTTTACCCTCCTTCTAACCCCTTTATCCATTCTTTTTTATCATCATCCTTTTTTTTCTTTTCTTTTTTTCTTTCTTTTACTTTTCAAGACGAGCATCAACTCAATCCAACCACTCTTCTTCTTCTTTAAATATAGAAAATTACGTTTATTCGTTTTAGATGTACTATTATAGTAAAGTTTCTTTTATTTCATAATTTTACGAAACAATTTTTATGCATTGATACTATTTATTTATTATATAAGTATTATGCGTGGGTGTTGTATTTTATTGTTAGTCAAATATTTCTAGTCAAATTATTGTTAGGAATAAACGAAAAATTTATTTTTAATTCTACGAGTGACCAACTTGAGTAATGGAATGTCAAATGAGAAACCGATGAATCGTATTAATCGATTAATTTAACAAGATAATTATACCTTCGTTATTATGTGTCATTATCAATGTTATATCGATGTGACACGTATCGATAAGTAAACGATATCATTTGATCATTTTCTAATGAGACCATCGGTAAATCGTTTGTATCTTTCGTTGTTGGTCAAAATACGAATACGAAACAACCAAAGATAATATAAAAATAATAAAAAGTAAAAAAGGGGTGGAATGAAAAAGGTGAATAAACGAGGTAACAAACAAATATTAAAAAATAAAAAGAAAAAAAAATGAACAGAAGAAATCCTTGTTTTTTTTTTAAATATTTTCCTCCCCACGTTATACTACATATATAGTATAGTATATATATGTATATATTGTTTGGTTTTATATACGCACGCGAACATTCTGCGGAGATTAGCCTCAACGAAGCAACGGGTGAGCAGCAACACGTAGGAAAACGTTTTACGTAGTATCAAATAATTATTGAAAATCCGTATCGATTGACCTCCATCCTCGCAGCCCAATACGCACAATTTTACTTACATATACATACACATACATATAAATCACACATCTGATATATTAGTTGAAATAATATTTGCGGATAATAATGGACCCTACACTACGGTATCCACCTGTTTTCGTTCGTACACCGGAATGATTACGCGAGATAAGCTATATAACACCGATGCCGAATTAAATCCGTATAGCGAATTTAATGTCTGAACGTTTTGATTCCCTACTACTACTACTACTACTACTACTACTACTACTACTACTACTACCTTTATCTACATCTGTATTTTGTAATTTTTATTTGTATTTTTTTTTTAAACAATCTATCTATCTATCTCACATTATTTTTTTTCTTCATAATCTTTCAATTATTAAATAAAATATTCTTGATACTCGCTGATGGTGTTGGTAGTGGTAGTAGTCGTGATGGTAGAGTAAGAGGTATGGGGGTAAAGGGATGAAAAAAAATTATATATATATATTTTTTATTTTTATATATATTATTATTAGATATTTTTATATATTATTTATATATAAAATTATATAAATTTATATATATTTTGTCCTATTATATTATAATAGGGTGAAATAAAAGTTTGTACATTTATTTTTATTATTAAACTTTACTTCGAAACTGCATTTATTTATTTATTTTTTTTTTATAAAATTTACTTTAGCAAATAATTAAAAAAAAAAAATTGTGCACGAACTTTTGGTTCACCCTAATCTTTTTTTTTTACCACCGAAACCTAACCAAGTTCATGTGTTTTCCACTGATAATAATTGGCCCAATGATTGCGGCATTGATTGGTCGAAAATGTCGAGTTATTCTACCAAGGTGGAGAAGAAGAGTACACATCGATGATGAGTGGGTGGGGGTAGGGGGTTAATAGCAACGTCTTGAGTGCATCTCAACAGGCTCTCGTCCAATTACAGAGCGTGATTGTTCGACCTTCGTAGATCCCACAAGGGGGTGCGGATTAACTAACGGAATCGGCTGATCTTCTTGCATGTATGGGGTACACCACACTCCTACACATACGTACAAAACATCATACAACACACACATACGTGCAAATATTTAACAGACGTATGTTAGTTGACATATATATATAAGTGACATTAACGTACGCCCATTATAAGCTTAAGAATTATTTATAAAGATTAATCTACCGTAGTCATGATGATTATTATTATATATAATTAAGAAGATCAAAAGATTAGGCAAGTAAGAAACGCCATCGCCATGTTGTCACAACGATCGAACGAATTTGACGAATTTTCAAAAAAATAACGAACGATTAATACCCCCCATCCCTCCCATCCTCCCCTAACCCATGTAATAAATTGACCATAAAATGGGTACAAGTATTTGATTGTTTGGAAAGTAATTTTGTTATTTTTTGTTTATTTTTCTTAGTATTTTAATTAAAAATTCGAATTTTAATTATTATAATAATTAAAAGTAAACTTATTATTTTCTTAATTATTTATTTTCTATATTATTTATTATTTCTAATTATATTAATTATTTTCTTAAGTAAAATATCATTGGTTTTATTTGATTCTTATCTTTTTTTTTTTTAATTGGATAACTCAAACGTGGTATATTTATTCGAATCAAAATTATCTGAAGACATTTTATTAATAAAATATTCTTTCCCTAAACTGCAACTAATTTTGTTCTTCCTTGTATTGCATTATTATCTTTATAGTAATATTAAAAGAAAAATGCTCGTTTGGTTTTGTCATTTGTGATGATCTATATGGAATTGGATAGAAACACAACGATATTTTGAAATTACTTTTGAAAATATCTTTTGCTAAAATGTAAAAAAATGATTGTAAGATTTAAAGGTAAGCTCAGTGATATCGGTAAACGCGATTTAAACAAAATTACTTTTCAAATAACCCAATATAATTCGAGTATTGTGGGTGCCTATCCACGAAGGAGAAAGAGGAAAGAAAAATAATAATCGATCGAGCGAAATATGTAGGTACGAGGACTATAAAGATGGTAGGATGTAACTTTAATAGTATGAAAAAAGAAAAAAAAAAGAAAAAAAGAATATGAAAGAAGAGTAGCGACAGCGTGAGAGAACAATGACGTGGAACGTTACGTTATATGGGGGGAGAGTTGGGTATACAATTAAAGGTATGCAATGCAACCGTATAATTGTACCTTATCTTACTCCTCACGCACGATCCCTCTCCTCTTTCTCTCTTTCTCTTTTTATTTCTCTTTTCTTTTATTTTCTTATTTCACGCGGGGGGGTTTCTTTATTCTATTTTTAAAATTAAAATTGCTACGTTATAATCATGAAATTCATGAAACGCGACGAACTACGACGTTTCAATTTTAAATATGTTATACGACACCATTTTGATTAAACTATTTTATCGTTTGTTTGAAAAAAAAAAAGAGAAAATATATTTAAAATATTATCAAAAGATATTTTCAAATTAAAATGACATCGATTATTATTTAAAATTTGATATTCAAAAAGGTTCGATGAGTCTAAGAAGAAATTAGTCAATAATCGAAGACTCGTGCATTTTTTAAAGAAATTTCAATGAGTCTACGAAGAAATTCGTCAATGATTGGAGGACTCGTGGATTTTTTAAAAAATTCAATGAGCTACGAAGAAATTCGTCAATGATCAATGAGCATTGACTGAACTTTTCGTAGACTCGTAAATTGAAACAATTTTTTTCTACTGAACTTTTCGTAGACTTGTGCATTGATTAAATTTTTGTCATTACACTCGTGCATTGACTGAATTTTTCGTAGACTCGTAAATTACTTCAATAAAAAGAAAAAAAAAGAGAACCTGAAGTTAAAAAAAGAGAATCTAATTGAAAGGTAGTTTCAGTTGTGGATTTAAATCAAACAAAATGATGAAAATATATTAGAAGAACAAAATTACGAAGAGAATTGGGTTTTGCACAGTTACAACAACTTTTCAATTATAAACAAATATATTACAATAAAATTGAAATAATTTTTCATTTGCAATTCAACGCTGCAATTCTTACTTGAGTTGAAACAAATAAAAAAGAAAAAGAAGAGCGTATAATTGAAAGACAATTCCAATTAGATTTAAATCAAACATTTCGATGAAAATTACAAGGGAATTGGGTTCCATACAGTTGGTAAAAAAAGGTACGAGTAAGTAAGCAGAAGAAAACTGGCAGAAGGGCAGGCAGACAGGCAGACAGGCAGGCAGGTAAGCAAGCAGAGTCTGCCCGCGTCTGCTCGCGTCTGTTCGTTCGACGAGGGGCGTCGTGCGTTTAAAACGAGCACGCGCCCGAATACAAAAGAGGGGAGGATAAGATTTGTCGACCAATAGGAATCGAGATAGCAGTTAGCTCCCGGGCGGAGCATAGGGATATACGAGACGTGGCACGAGCGTCCTTCTGTCAAACGGCGTCCGAACGCCGAAGGTGGAGGGTCGTGTGTCGTTTTGCAGCTTTTTTTAAAATAGGCTGGATTTTAAACGAAAACATACATATATACACATACATACATACATATCGACAGGTTGGCGAGAGAAACACACAAAAAGAGATTTTTAATTATTGTATTAGTTTTATCATTTGACTATTTTCTATTCTTTATTTGAGATTAGAGATTTTTGNAAAAAAAAAAAAAAAAAAAAAAAAAAAACAAATCATGGAGAAGACGGAAGTTGTTCGTATCACGTAGGAAAGGGTACTTCGTGAAGAAAATTCGATCAAGGACAAATCAAACTCGAGGAAATTAATCCTCGAAAGAGGAAGAAACAGAAACAGATTGAAAGATAAAGATCTCGTGAAAGAACAAAAAAAAAAGAAAAGAAAGGGGAAAGAAAAATGTTACACAGTACTTTGCCCCGGGCATTTCTGGCTCCTGGGTTAAATTATTTCGGTTATTACGGTGAGGAAGTTCATCATCCTTATGGTGCACCACCACCACAAACGAGCTGGCACATACCAACGGACAACGCAACTAATGGTAGTACGTACGCTAGAATTTCTGAACAACAACAACAACATCAGACCGTATTACGAGGTTGGGAATCATCGAGACCATCAACACCATGCCCATTGGATTTGTCCCTAAAAGCACCGCCGGTGGTTACACCCAACACACCTAGGACCACCACCACCACCACCACCACCAGCAACCAGGAGGATGCTGCCATCGAGGTTGACGACGAAGAAGACAGGAGGATTCGCGAGGAAGCTCAAAGACGTGCGGAAAATCGAAGATATCGAACTGATAACGAAAACATTGTTGATTCACCACTTTTGATTGATGAAATTGAAATCGAATCGCAACAACGTAGTTCGTCGGTTCACAGTCAACGCAGTTACGACAACAGACATTTGGGATCCAAAGAAAATGGTTTGCACATTCAAGAAGTATTCGATAAGGTTCGATTTTCCGATGAGACGACAACACGATTGCCACCACCTTATCCGAACAATGATGCTATACAAAAGTATCATCAATTGCAAAATCAAAAGTTATTGTTGAACAGTCCGACACGATTGCAATCCATACAATCGTATCATCAGCAACTACTATTAACACCTCAACATCATTTTCAAAGTATACACGCACCTATGACACCACCCAGTACACCATCACCACCTCAATGTCCAAGAAGGAAGACCAGAGATGAAGACGTTTCATCGCCATCCAGTTCTTCAATGATAAACGTCAACGTTACACCACGACAAAACGTATCAACTGACAAACCTATACCTAGACCAAAGAAGAAACACGCGAGGAGACTGAAATTCGACGAGGATACCAGCAGTCCCGTTTCCGGTACGGTAATATTAGGACCTGACGAAGCAGTGGTTACCGGTGACATTGATCCGGCTTTTAACATCGTCGAAGTCACCGAAGAGGCGCGTGCCGAATTGGCTAAGATCGAAAATCGTCTTGGACCATATCAGTGTAAGCTTTGTAGACAATTGCATGAGGATGCATTTCAATTGGCACAACACAGGTGTTCAAGAATAGCTCACGTTGAATACAAGTGTCCTGAGTGCGACAAGAGGTTTTCTTGTCCTGCTAATCTTGCTTCCCATCGCCGTTGGCACAAACCGAGATTACCAAATGGAGAATCGATTAACGGTGGTTCCAATTCATCAACCCCTGGTACTAACACCACCACTACAACCACCACTACGACAACTGAAATACCTTGCACCAGATGTGACGCCAAATTCAGTCGACAAGCTGCTTTGAGAAAACACATTGCCAATCAACATTCGGAAAATGTTCTTAACGCCAACATCAACAGCAATAGCAATAGTAGCACTAATAGCACTAATAGCAGCAACAATACTAATAATAATAATAATGTGAAAAATATCACGTTAGATGATCCGGAAACTCCATCCAAATTGGATAATAGTCAGCTCGGTATACAAAGTCTTTCGAGCAACGTGATGCCCTGACACCACCAGTTTCCTGCTCGACCTCTACCTCGACGACCTGGATTTTATTGGAGATACGGCCTTGACTTGTAAGACTCCTAACTACTTCAGATTACTACTACTACTACTACTACTACTACTTCGTTAGTAATTCAGTACTAATTTATAGTACTATTTTCCTATTATATTTCATATTAATTCATGCATCTCAAAATCTAAATGGTTATTTAAATATTATTCATTGATAAAATTTCGAAAATGTGTGTCAATCAAAATATTTCAAATTTGATCCTACAATCGAAACATTTTATTTATTATGAGAGATCTGAAAGTAAAAAGAAAGTGAAAAGGCTGTAAATTTTAAAAGCGAAAAGAAAGGAAGAAAATTAAGAAAAAAAAAATAAAAAAAGAAAAAAAAATGAAATGAAAAAAAGAAGAAAGAGAGAGAGAGAGAGAGAGAGAGAGAGAGAGAGAGAGAGAGAGAGAGAGGGAGGAAAGATAATCGTAAAAAAAATAAAATTAAACGACTATACTTCGAAATTTCGCGTTCATTGTGAAAAATTGATTTCAAACGATGGTTCGTTAATTTTTCACTGGCACAAAAACAACAAGTATTAATTATTATTATTATTATTATTATTATTATTATTATTATTATTATTATTATTATTATTATTATTTTATATTAGATATATAAGCGTGCTATATAATAATTGCCAAAGAAATAAAATGGAAGTAAAAAGAGTAAGAAGTAAAGAAAGAAAAACTCGGTATATATATATAAATAAATATAATAAGATATACTATCTTGAAGAAAAAAAAAAGAAAAAAAAAATAGGAGCTCGCATTATTATAAAACGATAATTTTGAGTATTGTAAATTTTCTGTAAAAGTGGTAATTGATCATCGATGAGGGTTTTTTGTTAGATGTAAATGTGTAGATAGTGAGGGTAGGTCGGTTTGTAGGGTGTACATAGGTAAAGTGAAAAAATAGGAGGAAAAGGTGGATGAGAATGGGGGTGGTGATGGTGGTAGAGAGGAATGGGGATGTGAATTGGGGTGGTGGTGGTGGTGACGTATCGAGCGTGAAGATCTCAATTCGTGTTGAGAGCGTTAAATTCTCTTGCTCGTTTCGTTCTAATACGTTTATAACGATAATAATATTCAATAGCACTTTATATACATTAAATTTCATTAATAATATTACAAATATTCAATTGTTTTATTTTATATTTTAATTAGTTTCTTTTAATTTTTTTTTGGAAGATATATCTCAAATGTATACAAATACAAATAAAACAATTTGAATATTCAGAAGTAGATACGATTAAAAAAAAAAAAAATACAAGTATCTCACTGTCATACAGCTAAATATCAAAGATAGTTAAGGGTTTAAGGGAAATATATTTCAAATCAAATAACTACGTCTAGTTTTTAAAATGAGAATCTTTCTTATTCAAACGAGTTATTCTTTTTATCTAGTCGTGCTTCGTTTTTACAAAACTAATCATACGTTTTATAATAAGTCATGTGTATCATAATTATTATTATTTAAAGGATAAATCGTTTTATGTTTTTTTTTTTTTTTTAGAAACAAATATCAAAGTACTACTAGTCGTAGGGAAATAAGGGATGAATTTCTAGTCAAAAGTTTATCGTTTTTAACCCTTTTGTTGTAAAAAAAAAAAACACACACACACGAACATTTTGAACTTCACACTCATATTTTAATTTTAATATCCAATTATTTTATCTTTCGTTGTAATTTAATCCTTTACTTCATTAAAAAAAAAAAAAAAAAGAAAAATATTGAAATATTTTGTAATAAAATTATTTTCACTTGAACACACACAACGATTAACAATTTGTAGAAAATACAGTGTGTAAAAGGGGGAAAAAAGGGTTGAATACGAAACTTAAAAGTCCTAGTTGATAATTAAATATTACGAAAAGATGAAAAAATTTCGAAACACCATTTTGAAATTGATATTACGGAAGATATTACCCGTGAGTTGAATTAATGTGTGGTAGGAGAAGAAATGGTGGTGGAAGTGGGGTGGTTAGGTGGATATAAATTAAGGATAAATTTCGTATTATATTTAGAAATGATTTTAACAGAATATAAAGCAGGATAAAGAGGTTCCTGTTGCATATTCGTGATAACTCGTAACGCACACACATTTTCTCGAAAAGCGAAAATATAGTTACTACTATTATTATGATTATTATTATAATAATAATAATAGTACATTTACGTTTCATCTTTTTTCAACATTTTGTGTTATATATTCTTCGTTCTATTGCGTTTTTAGAATGGAAAGAGTATTATTTGATACTAGAAAATCCAATAAGTATATATATATATTTCCTATTACTTTGGCAACTCACAAACCAAAATTGTATTCTTCGACGAACAGATACTTTGTTTTTTTCATAAATAATTAAAAAAAACAAAAAAAAAGAAAAATCTATAGCGAGATGATTAAAATGTTATACTATACGTTTAGTGAATTATTAATAATTCAAAATAATAAAACGAAGTATAATAATCGTGCGTACAATTTTATAAGAAATATTGTACATTTTTTTTTTTTTGGTTTATTTTATTTTTATTTGACAATTGTAACGCGATTGTTTAATCTTATGATAAATACGTGCTTAAAAAGTTTAAACGAAGAATTTAAACTTTTTTCAAGCATGATCATTACAATATATAATAATGGGATTTATTATTTTTACTCTTTTCGAGATAAAAGAATCAAATTTAGAATCAAAGTGAATTACTAAAGAGAAGAAGAATTGTAATAATTGTTTAAGCAAATAATATCATCGTCGTAGATGTAAGAAATATTTATAAGAAACAACTATAGGAAAATAAAATAAAATAAAGTAAAATAAAAAAAGAAGAAGAAGAAGAAGAAGAAGAAGAAGAAAAAGAAAAAGAAGAAAAGTCACTTGTTGACATAAAATAATTTACGAGAGTTGAAACAAAATAATGTCCATTGTTATTATTTATTTTATTATTATTATTATTATTATTATTTTTGTTTTGTTTTAATTGAATTTTAATTTCTTTTAAGTAATTAATTTTGTTCTTATTATAATTTTTGTTTAATTTTTTTTTTTTTCGGGAAAAATGCAATTATAATTTACATTTTTCATAATTTAATATAATAATACGTTTATTGTTTATTATAAATTAACAAATAATATAAAAGTCTTTTACGAGAAAGACCAACCAGATATAATCTAGTCTCACAGTCAGCTTGCAATACGAATAAATATTGTTAAATATAGCGAACTATAAATGAGGAATGTTAAATTCTCGAAGCATTCAATTTAAATGCATGCGATTCAAAATAAAATAAAATAAAATATAAAATATAAAATATAAAATAAATGACGAATCTTAAAATAAAAATAATAAAAAAATAAAAATAATAAAATGATTGTAAGTACTTTAATGTACGCGTTAAATGTGTATAAATGTATGATAATATTATAACAATTATTTATGTGTATCTCGCTTGAAATATATTCTAACGATATTAGAAAAACACATTGAGAATACATAAATAAGATTTTAGAATAAATCTCGATTCGAACAAATTAAAATAAAATGAAATAAAATAAAATGAAATAAACTGAACATTTTTTTCTCCCCTTTGGAACAAAATGCATTGATCGTATACGTGAGTGGTTTGAAAAGTCTTAAGCCTTTTTTTATTTAAAAGAAAAAAAACACCAATAATAATCTTTATTATATATTGTTTAAAATTGTTCAACCTACTTTCGTATATACATATATATTTTTAATATAATATATTATATAATATTATTAATTTATATATATATAAATAAAATATATAAAAATTAATAATATATATTTATATTAATTAATATTAATTAATATATTATAATAAAAATAAATTCGTTGTTTATAATAATAAAGTTTTTTTTTTTTTTTGAGTTTTCTCAAATATACGACACCAAAGATTACAAAAATTCTATAATCTACTTAATTTATATTTATTTAATTATTATTATATTATTTTAAAAATTCCATATTATTTTTAGAAATAATTTTCAGCTAACGGCAGGTAGGTAAACGATTGGATGTGGAAGGAATGAGAAAAAAAAAATAAGACGAGAGACAAAATGATTGGAGTCTATTGTCCATGCACAGAATGATGTCCTGGTATATTACTTTACTATGTGTCACCATAATGCCCTTCCCATATAGGAACCTACATAGAAAAAGAGTGAGTGGGGGTAGGGGAGGAAGGGATCGGTAGTCTTGTAATCTTCGTGGAACCTTTGTGCCGCGAACGGATAAAGAAACGTGTCGTGCACCCTCCCAAAGGATAAAAAGCTTTAAACCCAAGAGGCTGATTTTTCAAAGTCCTTCCCAACGATTACTAATACCCTCCTCCTCCTCCTCCTCCTCTTCCTCCTCATCCCCCACCTCATCTTCTTCCTATCTTTACTTGGTTATTTCAAAATTTTCTCACTTCTTTTATTCGATCAAATATAATATTATTTTTCTTTAACATGATGAAAATATTTCGATAAAAGGAAATACGCATTATGGGAAAAAATCGATTTGATAAATCAAAATAAGGGTTGAATACATTTTTTTTTTGGTTTGATTAGGTTAATCAACTTCAAACGAATATAATTGATCTAAAAAAAAAAAAAAAGAAATAAAATGTATATTATAATATTTAATAATTAAATATAAGAAACAATGAAATAAATATTTCATGAAAAATATTTTCATTCCTAAAATCCAAATTTCTAATTATTTAAATGTATGTATTAATTATATAAAATTATACAAAAACAAATTTTATTATAAATATATTTATTTTTTATTATAATATTATAATAAATGTAATTTTTTTAAATATAATAAAATATTAAAGAATAAATAAAAATTAAATTTAAAATTTAAAAATTATATATAAAAATAAAAATAAATTAAATATTTACAAATAATTTTAAATATAATTTTAATATAA